TGATTTCTATTGCCCCCCTCTAGCCCCAGCGAAGAACAAGAGCGGCTGGCATCAGAGACCGTGCCTTCGGCACCTTCACAATCGTATTTATGACACCGTGCGAGCATTTTTCCACTGGAGGGAGCAGTATCCCCACAAGAGTCCTCCGTTGGAGGCAGAGCAATGCTGGAGCCCACAGGTCCTGGGAAGGCTTGTGTTCGCCCAGCAAGAGAGAAGGAAAGGAAGAGAAGGCAGCAAACCAGGAGTACATTGGTTGGTGTAAGAGAGGAGCCACAGACACAGGAGCAGACACACAGAGCACAGCAGGGCAGGGAGCGGGGAGTGCAAGAACTGAAAGATAGAAGTGGAAGAATGAAAGAAAACCATTTCCCAACCAGGGGGAGGCAAAAGACACACCGACATATTCATAGCAGCAGTGCAGAGATGAAATAAAGAAAGGTGCAATAGCTACCGTCTTCTTCCTCTATCCATTCTTCCTCTTCTGAGCCAGGGAGGAGGGAAAGGAATAAGTGCAGAGGTTAGTTGGATGCCACGAAGCTGCGGAGTGTATCTATGGCGTGCATGAGATGAGCACTCCGGCACTGCAGGGCTTTCCCCTTTGCATGTCCCTTTGCTTTTAATGCCTGGGATGCTTTGCTGTGCAGCAAAGCCCTGAAGCAGCAAGAGGCTCAGCAAAACCCAGCTCCCAAACGCAGCCCAAACACACGGCCCAGATGTGCCCCAGCGTGTCTGCTTTGCTGCTTCATCAGGCTGAGGCACTTGGAGCTTTGTGCTTGAGCATCATGAGCATACATCCAGCTGATTCTCCAACACCCATTGAGTTATTGGGCTCACACCTCTGCCTGTGCTGAGCACAGCATTCCCATCCCTGCTTTGAGTCAAGGGATCACTCAGACAAAAGATCCTGATTCAAACTCAGGCTGGTTTTGATCCTACTGATGTTTCAGGTGGAGAAATCCAGAGCGTGGTCTCCTTTGCCATGAGTTACCCATCACAAGGGGTTGTGGAGTCTCCCTCTCTGGAGACATTCCAAACCCACTGGACACATTCCTGTGTAACCTGCTCTCAGTGGCCCTGCCTTGGACTGGATGAGCTCCAGATGTCCCTTCCAACCGTAATGATTCTGTGCTTCCAATCAAGGAACCCACCCGAGCAAAACACTGACCCAACAGCTCTTGTCTCTTGGCTCTCAGAACCACCGATGAGACACCTACCTTCTTCCACATACTCCTCTTCAGAGAGCAGGCGTGCACACAGGAAAGAGGGAAGGGAAAGAGATGCAGGTTATTGGATCATTTCTTTGCTTCAGCCTCAGGGTGCAGGTGGTCCACATCCTCTTACCTTCCTGCTCCCTGCAAAGCACAACATGGATTTGTGGGGTCACAATGGGGCACGTGTGTCCATCAAGCCATTCAAAGTGCTCAACTGACACTTCAGCAGTGGTCAGGGCACAGCAACCATTCTGCAGCCTGAGAAGATCCAGTGACCATAGCCTCTCATCCTAGAAATGGGCATCTCTCATCCCAGCTTTGCCTCAAAGTCCTTTCCTGACCTTGGGGGAGATGCATGGTCTGTCCTTGGAGTGCCCAGGGGACACCGGGCACAGGGCACTGATTGCCAGGACATGCAGGTCTGTCATGGCATTAAAACATAAGAGAAGGATTCGGATCTGCTTTTTCTGCTGATGGATGAGGAGCATGAGGTGTGCTTGGACTAATCCCTGTAACCACGTATGGCAGATATTGAGCCCCTTCTCTCCAGGGTGCATTTCATGGCCCAACAGCCCTCACCAGCAAAAGTTGCCCTCAAATTTAGGCCCTGGGGAGTGATGCTCTGGATGTGGCAGCAAAAACCCCATCAGCTTTTCCCAGCTCTCTCTCACTGATTCAGGTTGCAGCATTTCCAATGTCAGGGCTGCCCCTTGCTATGTGCGTGCTGGTACAGCCCCTAACACAAGCCTCCCCACTGCTGGGGGTCTCAGCAGTGATGCAGATGGGCATGGGGTGAGGAGATTTTATGCTGGATGCTGGAGGCAAATGGCACTTCTAAGCAATACCGTGACCCTGTGGGGAAGTGGGAATAAGGAGAAAGAGAAGCTGCTTAAAAACACATCACTTACTGGTCATGTTCTTCGATGACCTCCTCAGAGTCTGACATGCCTGGTTATCTAGCAGAATTCAAGGCAGATTGGAAAAGGAGAGGGTTAGGAGTGGAGATAAGGACAAGCACAGCCCGTCCTCCAGCACCAGGGACACAGGCACAGAGATGCTGCTCCTCGCCAAAGCACTGGGGCCCTGAGCTGTCCCCAGCTCTGACAGCATTATCTCAACAGAGATAAGGTTCCCCCTCCCCTCCTCTCCCAGGATCACTGCTCACCCCAAATAGCAAGCAGGAGATTAGACACAGCCTCATGCAACACTGATAACTGCTGTCAGGAGCCATGTCCAGCTGCCTCAGGGTGCTGTGTTTGCTCAGGGCACAGGAAAAGAGCCCAATTACAACGCTCAGCTTGTCTGGCTTCCTGACTATTCTTAGCTCGGTTGGGACACAGAACCTTTGCAGGGACATCCCGTTATCTCAGATCTACAGCCCTGCACAAGCCACAGCACAAGAGCTCGATGACACTTCACAGCCCAGCCCTCCAAGAGCAGAGGGTGCCCCAGAAAGGGATGATCTGGGCCCAACCAGGGTGTTTCCCTCCTGGTCCTGAGGCTGAGCTCAGCTAAAAGGGGTAATCCACAGCCTGCTTCAGCAACAGGGGTAGGTGCTCATTCCCAGTCGTGATCAGGAGGATGCCACTCATTTTCCCACCTCATCTGGTTTCTACTCATTGCTCCACCAAGAGGTCTACACAGGCCAGTGCCATGATCAGCCCCAGCCCTGTGCATCCCAGAGCAACTCTGGGCATCCCAGAGCAGCGCTGGGCATCCCAGAGCAGAGCTGGGCATCCCAGAGCAGAGCTGGGCATCCCAGACCAGTGCTGGGCATCCCAGAGCAGCACTGGGCATCCCGCAGCAGTGCTGGGCATCCCAGAGCAGTGCTGGGCATCCTGCAGCAGCACTGGGCATCCCAGAGCAGTGCTGGGCATCCCAGAGCAGCACTGGGCATCCCGCAGCCATGCTGGGCTTCCCAGAGCAGTGCTGGGCATCCTGCAGCAATGCTGGGCATCCCACAGCAGCACTGGGCATCCCAGAGCAGTGCTGGGCATCCCAGAGCAGCACTGGGCATCCCGCAGCAATGCTGGGCATCCCAGAGCAGCTCTGGGCACCAACCCAGGCCCCTGCACAGCCTGTCCATTGCTCAAGCTTGTGCCAGACCTCAGCCCAGCCGCGATGCAGCTCTAGAAATAACTCCCATGTGCCAAAGCACCTGTTCCCAGAGCAGCGCCGCTTCCCTTCTCCTGCTGGGAACAACTGGTCCTGCTGCATCTGTCGAGCATTTATAACCCGGGATGGGTAGGACAGGCTGCGGGGTCGCCTGCTCGAGATGCTGAATCCAGGGCTGGAATCCACACGCATGGGAAAGCTGCGCTGCAGGAGGGGTGCCTCCGCATACCCCGGGGTGGTCAGATCTCACTTTGAGCAATGACTCAGAAGGTGCTTTTTGGAGACAAATGAAGTCAGAACTCAGCCCTGGCAGCTCCATCGCCTGCTTCTGCCATCCTTGTTCCTGCTGATGGGTCTGGGGCTTGGCCCTAAGAATCCCTTTCAGCACCATCCCCTCAAGTCCTGTCCCCCTCGAACACCAGTTCCTGGCCCTACTTGTCCCCAGGCTCAGCATGGTGCTGCTATCCTGAGCTTGGCCAAGTGGTTCATGTGGCCTCTGAGCTGCCAGGACTTCCCACGACACAAGAGCAGAGACTCCATCCCAGCCATGACAGCGCAAACGTGCATTTGCAGAAGCTTATTTCTACATCTCCATTCACCTTCTCCCTCCTATATCGCTCGATCCCACAGAGAATTTGCTAAGGAACAACAGCAAAACCTTAAAGGGTACACACAAAAGGTGTCTCTAGGAAATACGCATCCATCCTCTGCACAGAAACAGATAAACCTTTCCATTGAAGCTGTGGAATGTTGTTTTCCCAGCATTTACTCCAGTGCAGCTCACATCTCTGCTCCATTCCTGCTTCATACACAGGAGCATCCCAGCTCTAACCCACCCTATGGGCTGCCAGTGAGCCATGGCCAGGCTGGCCCAGCTCTCACATGGGCATCACATCCCTCCTGTCCCCTCCAGAGACACAGTTAACAGGGATCTGTGAGATCCACTGGAACCAGAGCAGCCAAAATCCTTCTCGAGCCACCTGGGGTGCTTTAAAGGGCATTGGGCAAGTTGCAAATACAACCCCCTGGAGAAGGTCCGGATGCTTGATCCATGCGAATGCCTTCACGGCAAAAATACCTCCTGGCTGGGGAGCACCATTACCCCTGAGCCAAATCGCTCCTGCCCTTCCACTGAGCATCCTGTGCCCCCCGCAGCCTTACCTCTGCCGTGGGGCACCAGCGAGATCCCAGGGAGCTGGCGGGCGTCTGGGAAACGCTCTTTGGGGGCAGGAGGCTTTAAGGGGGCTCCAGCGCCCACCCCGGGGCGGGCAGCACCGGCAGGAATGTGCCCGGCGCCCAGGGAGGAATGCAACACTTGTGAGCTGCTATTTCAGCCCCAGCCCCCTCGGCCGCTCCCCCTTCCCCCCCAGGAGCCCATATAAGCCCAAGCTATTGTGTGGCCTCAGAGATTTGCTATTTTAAACCCTCCGGACCGAGATACGCGGGTGCCCGAGGGGCTGACACAAGCCAGGCAGCTGTCATGCTCTGATAAGGCAGCGAGCGCAGGACCAGACCCTCCATGGCAGCCCCCAGCCCTACACTGAGCCCATGAGGCTGCAAAAGAAGAGGCTCAAGCTGGTTTTACCATGTGTGTCTCGGGTCTTCGCCTTCTTTCCCCTTGTCAGAAGAAGCAAAACTGCTCCCATCCCATCCCAGAAGGAGGTGACCAGGAGCATCTTAGAAAGGGCAACGTTTATTAGGGAAACAACAAAGGCACAGAGAGAACCAGGTCCTTTCCAAAGCCCAACAAGCAGGATGAGGTCTAGGGGCAGCAATAAAGGCCCACACCACACTTGGATACCGCAATGGTAGCTCAACACACAGCCCTTGCCCACTCAATGGCCCCAGCACAAGGATTTCAGCATCATTTTAGGGGCCAGCACCCTAAAGCCATCCTGATTACCCTGCATCCCTGCTGGGTGGGCTCAGCAGCCCAAGGGGTGCAGGACACGGGTCACAACAATAGGCTCGGGAAGAAGGGCAAGAGGGAAATAGGGTTTGGGGAAGGGGCCCAGCACAGGGCATTCAGCTCCATGCAGCCCCAAATATAGGACCATGGTCCACCCACCCTTCTTTCCCATGTATTTAAGTGAAAGGGGTCACTGCACCAGTGGCATCGGGTCCACCCTTCTTCCACAAAGCATCACTCGATGCACGTGTGATGTTGAAAGCTTGGGTCACTCCAGCAGTGACAGCCTGGGGAAGGGTTGACACCTGCCTGCCCCACATCATCCCACACGAGCCAGGCAGCAGGGATGGGCATGGTCCATGGATGTGCAGCTGAAACTCCCTTGCCCAGGCAGCTTCTTGCCCCACCGACATCATCCAGCTGCAAGGGCGATGCAGAGGTTGATCCCCTTTGCAAGCACGGTTATGGGGCACGGGCAGAGGTTAGGAGCAAAACACCAGAACATTCAGGGAAAACAAGGCAAGAATCTGCCTCCAGCATCTGCAAGGAGCTTCCAGGCCTGGGCACTCCGGTACAGGCAGCAAGTGAGGTCTGGGTGCGCAGGGATACGTTTCCAGCCTTCTTCCTTCCTCAAGCAGAGGGCCCTGGCGATGTGGGGTGCCCTACATGTGGCACGGGGAACACTCATGGCAGTGGGCTGCTGGGCAGGCTGGGCTTTGATCCTCAGAGCAAAACAGTTTTTCCCAGATCATTTGCTATTATCACAAATGATATTATTGCAACTGGAAAAGAAAGTGAGACACAGTGAGGGCTGGAAACCCCAAAGGCAACTACTGCAACCAGGACCATACTTGTGCCAAACAGGGAACGGGGCAGGCAGGCAGGCATCCCCTAAAACCCACCACATGCCACTTTTCCCTTCTTCTCCCAGACCTGTCTCCTTCTCACCATTAGAGCTGCCTCCAGTCACCCCCTCCTGCCAACTCCCCCAAGCCATGGGGTCCTGGCCCACACAATCCCTCCATACCCCATAGCCTGGGTTTCTCACATCTGCCCTATGAAGGCTCTGCCCACGGCTCAGAGGATGCATCCCCTTTCAAAGCAGCTCCGTGTTTACCTTGGTGTCCACAGAGGTGTCTCCAGGCTGCTTTACCCAGTTGGGCAGGCTGCTTATTTTCCTGATGTCCTGCAAACAGAGGTGGCACAGGAAGGTTTCCCCTGTGCATCACGCGTTGCCTCGGCCTGAAGCACACACGCGCCCCAGGTAGAATCAGACACCTTAGAGACCCTTCCCCGGGCAGCCCCTCCAAACCAAGCACAGCTCCAGCCCGCAGAGACGGCAGCACCGGGTGTTCCAATAGGGAAAGCTGATGAAGGAGCTGCAGGCTTTGATCCAGGAGTGACCCGGGAGCAAACCCTCCCCTGGCAGACACGAGCCAGCACAGACACGTCTGGGCAGCACTGATCTCTGCAGCTCAGTGCTGCGGGTGCCCGGGCTTGTCTGCCCCGGCTGCAGGGCTGGGCTGGAGCTGCCCCTCCTGGGTCCATACCCAGGAAGCTGCGGGAGGCTCTGCTGTGTTACTGCTGCAGATGGTGGTACCCCCCCAAGGGACTCGCTGAGCATCTCCTTTCCAAGCCCTGAGGCCTAAGGATTTCCTGTCCATCTCCCTACAGAACCCGCAGTGGCAGTGATGACCCCCGAGTCCCCTTTAGAGGGCGACTTTGCCCCCACAGCTACAAGACACCCTACTCTGGGGAGGCTGGAACACATGCAGGGACGCAGATCACTCCAGACCCCACATGCAGCAGGACCTCTCAGTACACACGCAGATCCCTAAACCCCAGAGCCCCAGTTCATCAGCCCATAAGCTCCAACACCCCAGATGCAGGGACATGTCCTGCCGGGCTGCCTGGGCTGTGGGCTCTTGCCCAAGGTGTCAGCACAAGCCGGTACCTTGCTCTTCTCCTCCTTGGCAGGCTCCTGAGCTCGGCTGATCCATAGATTAATGCGGGATGTCACTGACCCTGGGATCTTCAGGTTGTCCTGTGGCACAGAGAAGAACACCGGGATTACAGCACCAGCTCCCTCATGGCACAAACGCTACTGGGCACAGTCCCCAGGGCACAAGGGACTTGGCTCCATCCCATCGGCACGGACCCGCACAGCCCCACAGCACCCTCTGGGTGGCAGCCGGGGCCCGAGCGCATCCCTGCCCGTCTCAACCAGCACCGCGCTCCCATCGCGCTGCAGAGGGGAAGATGCGCCCGAGAAGCCGGTGCCGGCCCCAGCACAGGGCGATGCCGCCGGCTCCTGCGTTACCTTCCTGGCAGCGAGCGGCTCAGCCTTGCCCGGAGCGCTCGCCTCGAAGAAGTTGCGCTTGCTCGCCACCCCGTCCGAGGAGAGCAGGAGGCTCTTCTGAACGGGCAGGGATGATTTCACCGCCTCCGAGCGCTGCGAGGAGAGAGAGAGCGGGGTCAGCGGCGGGCACGGCTGCGCCACGCGTGGTAAAGAGCAAAGTCCTGCTTCTGGGTCGCATCCCCAGCCCATTGAGGTCTGCTCCCTCCATGCCCATCCAAGCTCACCGGCTTGCCCCAGTGCTCCCTGCAGCAGGAGCATGGAGCATCCCCATGACCCTCCCTAGTGAAGATCTGCTCTCAGATCCTACAATCCTGAGGCTCATCCCTTTTTCCACCTGGGACCGTCTTCTTTAACCCCATTAGCACGTGTTTGATGCAGCTCAGTCCCACTCTCCCTTCCCCATTCAGCTCCAGGCCATGCCTCTTCCTCTCCCCACACATCCCTCCCATGCCGAGGGATTTCAGCACCTGCACGGCCGAGTTGTACTTTTCCAGCTTCTCCCCAATGGTGGTGCTGCTCCCTGGGATCCTCATACTTGCACTGGTGAAGAAGAGGGAAAAGAGTTGGATGCAGCCCCCTCAGGATCACCTGGGACTCAGCCCATGGTTCTGGGGACTCCACTTGGCAGAAGACCCTGTCTGACTCAGGCACTCCTCCTGCATCCATCTGCAAGTGAATGGCAGCTCATGCCCTGCTGATGACCAAGATCTCTGGGTCTCACCATCTTACTGGGACCACTCTGTACACTGAAAAACAGCTCTGAGCTCCTCAGTTTACCCTGTCTTCACCACTGCCAGGTCTGAGCTGCATCTTTGCCAGTACCAGGATGAGTTTGCCTGCAGTATGCACAGTTAAAAGCCCAAGTGCTGTAAAACCCCACTCCCCTACCCTGCATTCAGAGGTGGGACAGCATCCCATTGACTCCCTGCGTTCACATCTGATCCTTTGTTCATCAAGAGTTTTTAAGCCACCTGGCCATGGAGATGTGGCCACCAAAGCCAGATCAGCGTGCTCATGGACCTGTACCGTTGGTTTTGATATCTCCAGGGATGGGACCCTGTTGTGGTGCTGCACGACTCCACACTTAACCACCACTGTGCAGACAAGCACCTAAGAGAGTGCCTGAACCATGAGGCAGCAGGAGGTAGCTGGGGGGGGGGTCTTGTACACATACAAGCCCTACACTGGACATCAACCAGGCTCCCTGGGGACCAGCATCCAGCAGATGTGCACCAGGGTACTCACTACCTGGTACCAGGTCCCATCACCTCCTCCTCCTCCCTTGGAACACCAAGGGGGACAATTCCTGCTCAACAAGACCCAAGTAACATGAAGAGAGGTGCTGACCTCCTTGTGAGAGGGCTTTGGCTTTCTTCTTTCTGTTTTCTTGAGATCACCTGGAAGGCACAAGGAGAGGAGATTCTGGAGCCATCTTTGGTTATCAAAGAGAAGCTGCCACAAACTCATCTCCCCCATTTACAAGAAGGCTCCATTTTCACCCACACCAGAGCTGATGTCGCACCTCAAAGCCCTCCAGCCTAAATACACTTCATAGTGCTACCATCCCCAATAAAGCAGCATGAAACTCAACTAAGCCAGCAAGTCAGCACTGATTCACAGCAGGGAGGATCTCAACAGCTCTTGGTTTTCCCAACCTCTTTATTCCAGAGATCTTTTGGGGCAGGCTAGAATGTCAGATATTCCCAGGGATGTAACAACGGATAAGAAAGAGGATGGATTTCTTTTTTATCCTCTTAGAGAAGACCAATAATGCCAGAGGGGGAATGGTCCTTCCCAGGGCTCTTTGGGAAACCTGAGGACAATGAGCTCCCTGTTTTCTCATCACTTCCCACAAGTTCCCATGCCAACACAAAGCATGTCAATATGGGCTTGATCATCAGCACAGGCCTTCGGTCAGACACAGTGAATGAAAATGGAGGTAAACTGAAGCAGAACTGCAATGCAAAAGATCAAGGGGGGATTTCAAATGCACTTTTGGGAATAGACTCTGCCAACATAACCCGGAGACAGAAGCAACCCTTCCTTCCCCCTTCCTCCACTGCCTAAACAGGGATCATCCCCCCATTTGCTTAAGGTCTTACCCGAAAGGAAACAGTTCTTGGGCTGGTTCGTCTGATGGAGCTGCTGTAGGTGACCTGAATGGGGAAAGCATCCGACTTCTCTGCAGATTCCTCTGGGGTGGCAGACGGCTCTATTGCCTCCTTTGGGGGATTCCTGGATGGCTGCTGAGGAAAAAGCAAGCACCTGATGCATCCCTGAAGTGAACGCTGAGGTGCAGGGAGCAGAGCAGCCAGGGTGGGAACTGCTTTGGAAGGCAGCATCTGAGGTTGAGGTCCTCCAGACTGTGGCTGTCTCATTTGGACAGGCAAAGCCCTAAAGACCTCTTCAATGAAACCGTGGTGGCGATCAGTAGGGGCTTGCTGGAGAAGGGGATCAGAATAGCACATGCAAGGGAGGGAAAGGGGTGGTGGGACCCTGTCCACCACCTCACAGTTTGCAGCTTTCAGAGGAACCTTCCCCAGAAGCCCACGGTTCCGTTTCCCTCCTGGTGCTCTGGGGCTCTCCCTCTCTCTGTTGTCCTCCCAGCACCCAGGGCCTCACACCACAGGGGTTGGTGCCTTCCCCATCCCTGCTCACCTGCTGCTCCAGGGATGAGGTTGCCACCGAGGACGTCTTCTCCGCGCTGCGGCTCCCTTGCCTGGTCAGGATCTTGACCTCGCGGAGCCGGCAGCCCCCCAGCTCCATCGGGGCCTGTGGCTCCTGCACCTCCTTTCTCTGCTCTCCCCGAGGAGTCCCCACACCTTGTCCCTCCTTGTCCTGGAGCCGTGCCCTCACCACCACCTTCCTCTCCAAGGCTGGCTGCCGGTGTCGGTCTCCTGGTGGGTCCCCTCTGCCCTTGGCCCCATCCCGATCCCGCTGTCCAGCCTGGATGCTCTCCTGCCCTGTGTGTGGCTGTGTCCCTGCCTCCGCACCCCTCGCTCCCACCCCTGGATCCTGCTGCTCCTTCTCCTGCCTCAGTTTCCCAGAGACTGCCATTGGAGACCTTGTCCGTCTCCCTTCTTGAGTCTTCAGCACTACCGGGAGCTTGTGCTCTTCCCCATCCTCTGTAGCCACGGGCTTCACCAGGGATTGAGGTCTGGAGATGGAGACAAAACGGGGATCAAACCTCAACACCCAGAAAGCTGGGTTTATGCTGCAGGTGAAAGGCTTTGGGGGGGGTGTAAAGATCCCACCAACATCCTGGAGTCATCCCTGCAGAGCAGGACTTGCAGCCATGCTCATCACTGCCACCCCCGCTATAGGCTCTCTGAGGACAAGTTTGGGTTAAAAGTCTTTCCTTTCTGTAGCAGAGGTTAAGCATTTCTACAGCCTCATCCCAGGACATCAGCATCCAAAAGGATATTTGCCTTCCTCCTGAATTGCAATCATGTGGGCAGCCTATGCTAGCACTAGGGAAGGGGAACTTTACTGTCTATCTTGTTCATATTAGTCCTATCCAGCCCCTATCCAACCCAAGCACCCTAACTCCACCCCACCTGAACCACAGAGAGGAACACCTCTAGAGCACAGATCCCACTGTGCACAAACCCCATCTAAACACCGGGCATCTCCAGGATCAGTTTAGAGAGGGCTCTGGTTGTGAAAGGGCAGCCTTTTCAGACCTCAGAACACCTCCAAAACCTTTTCAGATCTCAGAGCACCTCCAAAACCCAGCTCCCTGCAACAAGGGACTTTGGGAACACCACCGGAGCACCCTTGGGTTGCCTCCCCATTCCAGCAAAGGCCATAGAGCATCACTGCAAGGACCAGAGGAGGAGGATAGGCTCTGCATGCTGAGCTCACCTGCCCTGCAGAGGAGGGTGCCTGTCTGCTCTTACCTGCTCAAGATCCCACAAGAGCATGGCCAGCACCCACCTGAGCTCAACCTCAGCACCAACCCTTATCCTGGAGGACCAGCACCCTGCACCATGGGATATGTTGAAGCTCATGATGAAGCCCACCAGAGGTCTATCCCTCTCCTTGTACTCCTCCTGTGAAGCTCATCCTTCTGCCTAAAAACCCATTGAGCTCCTCCCCCAGCTCAGCCCACTCTTATCCAACAGATAGTCCCACCCATTTGCAGCAACTTTGGCTCAGGACCCATTAAAACAAGGCAGCAAGCTGCAAGCCATCAGCATCATGATGAAGACTGATGCCAGCAGCACCCCACACACCTGCTGGAAGCTGGGTTGGTGCCTTTCACTGGGTTTGGGGGCTCTTCCTCCGTCGATGTGGAGGACAACAGGTTCCGGTGCCTTCGCCGGCGCTCCCTTTGCTGCTCTTCTTCATCCTCCAGGGTCCTCTGCCTGGCCAGGCTGTTTGGGATGAAGCATAAGGATATGGTGGTGCTCTGTCCCGCATGGGCAGCCTGCAGCCTCGGTGCCAGATGGAAGGAGACTGAAACACCCTCGGGAAGGGCTGAGGGGCTGATGGAGATTGCCTTCCCCAGCTGCTCACAGGGCTGGAGGAGATGGATGCCAACATGAGCCCGGTGTCATAAAGCGCTCTCGCTTCACCTAGCTGATGCAGGCATTTCCCAACACAAGCGCTTGACAGCTCCTAATTTCTTCTGTTAGAGGCATCACCCATTTAAAAGGAATCCCTACATTAAGCAAACCTTCCCAGGCAAGGATATTTAACATGTAACTCAGCAAGACCAGGACCCTAGAGCCACCGCATAGATCTCAACCACATTACCTGGAAGGGAAACCACCGGTGGCAAAAGATGTTAGCTCCAGCATGATTTGTGGTGATGGCATTTTCATTTTTATTGAGCAAAAAGCCTCAGATGCAAAAGCATCAGAGGCTGAAGGCAGCTCTGCCTGGAACTGTGTTGGAAAACGCCTTTGTTGGCTGCTTTGAGCTTTCCATAGTGGTATCCATCACCTACAATCCTCAGTCAGCCACCAAAGCACGCAGGGGTCCCAGTGGTGCTCCCCACACCGTGACCAGCCTGCTGGGGCAGAGCACAGGCTCCATCCCCTCGCAGCATCCCTGCTCTGGAGCTGGCACTGCAGCAGATGCAGGGTTTACTCTGAACTTGACTTTAAAGAACATGAAAGTCGGAGCAGGTCCGGGCCTGCGGTGTCGCTCACGTTGTTTGGGCCACGGCGACTCGTGGCGTGGCTCCCGAGTTACTGTGTAATGGAAGCTGGGTCATAAATTAAACCACATTCCCCCCCCTGTGTGTGTTTGCAGCCTCTTGTGCTTCCTGGTCAGGGGAGCGGCAGGGGCAGCAGAGCAGAACCAAGAGCCAAGAAGGGACTGGTCCTGGCTGGGAGCACGGCACTGATCTGGGGACAGTGCAATGTCAGGGACAATGTGCTGCTTTTCCCTCTGCTGCCTCCATCCCCAGCACCCCTTGCACCCCCAAGCAGCCTTCACACCCCAACAGCCATGGGATCCACTGCTGGGGGGGTTCTTAGTGGTCCCTGATGCTGTGCTTGGCATCAGGGGGATGGAGGAGGCTGGGACCTGTGCTGAGCATCCCCACCTTGCTCTCACCCCATCAGGGGACACCGTGTCCTTACAGCTCTACTCACCTCCATGGGCCTGACCCTGTAAATATTTGTGCTCAGCTCAGCTGCCCTGGGAAGGCAGCACAGATTTATCTGCATGGCACAGCGTGATCTCCCGGTGCAGCAATCATAGAACCATGGAATGGGTTGGGTTGGAAAGGATCTTAAAGCTCATCCAGTTCCAGCCCCCTGCCATAGGCAGGGAGACCTTTCATTAGATCAGCTTGCTCCAAGTCCCATCCAACCTGGCCTCAGACACTTCACTCGTTCCCACAGGCAAGGTTAACACGTGCATGGGGACTTACATACACAGGGACCTTGGCTAAAGGGCTCTTGTCCCTTGAGCAGTGACAGCATGGGGTGCTAACCCCAGTTTGCATCCACTTGACAGCCAGTTACCTCTTTGCTTTTGCACACACAGCCTCCTTCAGAATGAAAATGAGATTTTCCTGCCTTGAGTTTGCTTGGCTCCTTGTGAGCTGCACGTAACCTGGCATTACCAACATGCAGTTTCTCGTTACTTGCCATTACACAATCCGCCCATTAGGCTACGGATTTGCTTTGCCAACATCCCCATCCTCTTTTCAAAGAGGGATTTATTCTTCACCCTCTTTGCTTTTTTAAACTCATAGAGATGAATGAAAATGGATTGGTGAGTCTCCCCCTGCTTTGTCCTCTCCTGCCCTGTTAATCATTATTGCTCAGAGAGCTGACATTCATGCTGTTTCAGTGAACGCTCTCTCATCTAATGAGAGAGGAGAAACTGCCTGCATGGGTTGTGAAACAACCTGGTTGCAGGACCCCACCGGGCCTGTGTTCAGGCAGATCCGTGGCTCAGAGGAGGTGCATTTGGATGGGGCTGGGATGTCCTTTGGATCATTCCCATCCCTGACGGAGGCTGGGTGTGAGCTGGCAGCCTCTGAGCAATGGGGTCTCAGTTCCCTTTTCCAGGCTGGATGCTGTGGGTGCCTTTATCCGGAGTGCTGGGGTTTGCAATTAAGTCTTGGAATCACATCCACTTAAACTGGGATTTCTGCTCTTTTGAGTCACCACCTCCCTGCCTGTGCAAGTTCTTGCCCTGGGATCTGCAGGAGGTGGGGAGCGATCCCCACATCACCAAGGCTTCATGGGAGCCCCTGATTCACACCATGATGCCCCAGAGCCTCTCCTGGCCCAGCTCCCATTGGAGCCAAGATCCATTGGACCGAGTGAGTGGCAGCGCCGCGGGGCTGCGGGGCTCATCCAGTGCCTGCAGATGAATCAGGGTTTGCTCAGCGCCGGGCAGGCAGAGCCAGGACACACACCCAGGGGCTGTGTGGGTATGGGATGAGTGAAAACCCCACAGCCGGCTGCGGGGCAAGGCTGGAGGCACAGCCCAGCCAGCCTGTGCCCCAAAGAAAGTCAAACCAGACCAAAACTACACCCAATGTGGGGCAGGGATGCGTTTCCAGAGCCATTTTCCTATGCAGAGCTCAGCTTCCCCAGAAAACAAGAACGCTTCTGATCTTGCTCGCCCACAAGAAATCCCAGCAGTGCCAAGCTCTGGATGGGGCTGGCACCACCTCTGCAATCAAAACCTTTCTGCCAGCTCTTGTCCTCCCCAAGCCCCCTTGGCCAAGGCTCATTGTGCCAGCAGCTCACCCTCACCCCCTCCCTCCCTCCCTCCCTCCAAGGGTTAAGCATCAAACCCCAGCACCTACCTGGAGAGATCGGACCAGTTCCTTCTGCTCAGAGACATTCCTGCTTCCCGTGAGTCTCAGAGAGCCCCACGAACTCCTGCAGGCATCAAGGCCAAGGGGCTGCCGGACCGCGGCAGGGGATGCGCGCTGCTCCGAGCCTCTGCTCCCCGGGGAGGGAAGGAGCTCGCTGCAAGGTTATTTCCCTGTGCACCTTTACCCTGCGTGCAGCCCCTTTGCATCACATGGCTCCTTATCTACCTTGACACGGGCAAGGCTGTAATTTGTCTATTAGCGGCGCCGGGCGAAAGCCGCCCTGCCCAGCACTGACCCCAAGCGCGGCTCACTCCCCGCTGCCGGCTGTGCTCCAGCGGGGACCCGAGCTCCGGGCTCGATCCATCCAGGTCTCCCAGGGTTTCGGAGGCAACTCCCTGCGGAGAACCTGTTTTACCAGCCGCTCTGCACCAGTCAACATCCTCCAGCACCGGGGGAGGAGGTGAATTACCTTGGGCTGAGTGGGAGGAGGCTGGCTCCCAGGGATCCAAAACAGTCATTAGAACACCTCCATCTGGGTGCAGTCCAGCCCTTTCCAAAGAGCACGGGAGGGTGTCCTGCCCCTTTCGGCCTTCTCTGGACGTCTTGGATTGAGCTGTCACAGCTTCCCTCCTGCCCGTGGGCTTTACTGCAGTCGAGAGCACTCATGAAGCGCCACATAAGTGTCTGAAGCATGGGGAGGGATCCAATCTTTGGGTGCTGAAGCACCGCTGTGTTAGAGGGGAGCTGTGCTCTCAGGTTCACCCCATGCCTGGGCCCAATCCACCACTCCCCTGGGCTTTTCCCAAGTCTCTGTCCCCACCATGCTCACACAGGGCAATGCTCTCTTTCAAAGGGCCGGTGTGAAGGCAATGGGGGGACTGTGCTTGTTTTATCAGGGTGACAAAGGCACCCAGACACAGCAGAGCCAGCTCCAAGCCTGGTTTTCACCTGGGCCCAACCCAGGGACCTGGTGCTCCCGTTGTTGGTGTCAGCTTGGCAACCACAGTGGATGCCTGCAGAAGAAGTCATCCAGGACCCCTTGAGAGCTAATTCAGTCTCTGATCCTGGTGAGATCCATCCATCCACCAGCCGAAAGCACTGCTGGTAAGGCTGGGCTTGCCACGCTTGCCTCCAACCCACAGGGGTGTGCCAGGCCCATGAGTAATCAAAGGAACTATTATAATCAAAGGTTCCTGATTAAAATCCCATTTCTAAGAGATAGCCTTGTCAAGCGAACGTGTGCTCTGAGCAGGGCTTGGTCTCTGTTGCTCTTTCTTCCTGCTGTAACCCGTTGTCTTTCACCTCGGCGAGTTGTGCCATAAGGAAAAGTACTTCAATAGCTTTATGAGCGTCCTGCTAATTGCAGGAAAGCCATACAGAGCAGTTCAGCACGAGCAAGTCACTATAGAGCCATAAACCTTTCTGATTAATGCACAGGGGAGCACTTCACTTGCAAAACTCATTGCCAAAGGACATCACTGAAGCACAGGACCTAATGGGGTTTTAAAAAGGATTAGAGTGAACCTAGTGAGAGAACACCCCCAGCTTGGATCCACATGGCAAAGGGGTATAAATCCTTACAGTCTGTGATTCCTCTTATTCTTAAGGTGAAGACATTCCAGGCAGGCATTTAGAGGCTGGGGATTAGCAGAGGATGATACTCACCCCTTACAGACCCTTGGTCTTTATTTTCAGCTTAGAGACCTTTGAGCTCAACGTGGTTTCCTCCTTATTGAAGAGCCCTCAGTGGGTTTCTCCTCCATGGATTTGCCCAGTTTCCCTCAAACCCAGGAAAACTGTTAGTATAAAAAACATCCTTCAGCATCCTCCCTCTTCCCTCTCATTCTTTAATTTGGATGGGATCCTGCTGAGCACTTTGGCAGCACAAAACATTGTTCTCTCATGGTTGAGACTTTCTCTGCCATGGAGCATTCAGGTCATGTTTTCCCTGATGTTCCTCATGTTTTTTCATGTTCCTCATATTCCCAACCAGGCAACAGCCAACCCAGAGCCTATATATACTATATATATATATATGTATATATATTTCCATCATCATATGAAGCTACACTGGATTTTCCCTATATACTCCTCCAAATATCCCTTGCCATTTTATCCATGAACCCCAAGTCCTGCAAGATCTTTTTTATCATCTCCATCATCAGTCTTCATCTCCGCTGTGCCAAATACATAAGAATTATCAGCAGCTTGTTATCTCACTATCATTTCCCTATCTGCTAATTTATTTACCTCTGCTTGGACTTTCCCTCTTAACAATGGATGACCTAAAGGTCTTTCCTTCTGGAAATCCAGGCAAACTCTTATCTACAAGGTCGCCCTTATCTACAAGCTCATCCAGTGAACACCAGACGCTTAGTGAGAGGACTTCCCTTTACAAAAGCTATTATGGTCACCATGAGCTCATCACCAAAGCCAGACCAAACTGCAGGTCCACAAAGGTGAAGTAAGGCAGAGGCATGAATCCATGCACAGAAGGGATGTCCAGGGGAGCGAGTTTATCCAGATGTGCTGTACACAACAGGCTGTCCTATCTGCTGTCCCAGATCTACAACCAGGAGAGGAAAGTTACGTGCTCTTGGCGAAGGGAGTTGTGCAACAGGGCTCTACTGTGTGCAGGCAAGGCTCTAGTGTAAAGCCTCACTGCTCTCTGGGTACCTGCTTTGCCCAGGGATGGTTTTCCTGCTGCTTCACAGGATGGCTCTGCCAGAATAACTGCATCTGCCTGGGGAGCTCAGGGAGGCCAGAACTTCATAGAATCCCAGCCTGGTTTGGGTTAGAAGGGACCTTAAAGCTCCTCCAGCTCCAACCCCTGCCATGGGCAGGGACCCCTTCCACTCCAAGCCCCTGTGTCCAACCTGGCCTTGAGCACTGCCAGGGATGGGGCAGCCACAGCTTCTCTGGGCACCCTGTGCCAGCGCCTCAGCACCCTCACAGGGAAGAGCTTCTGCCTAAGAGCTCAGCTCAGTCTCCCCTCGGGCAGGTTAAGGCTGCTGATCTGTATCATCTGATGCAGATCAGCAGAAGACACACATTAATGCTCACTAAGGAGCTAGACTGGTATCAGCAAGGGTTTGCTGGGTTTTTTCCCTTGGGATTAGTGTCCTATCTCTCATCCTGATGCAGAGCCTCTTTAGCTATAGGGCAGTGAAGACCTTCCAGTTTCCACAGCTGTGCTCTCATTAGGGCATTCCTCAACCTCTCCCCAGGGCCTGATGGTGACCCCTCCATCTCCACCCTTTGACCCATGCTGGTCCCTCAGCATCAGCCACTGCTCCACTCCTCCCTTGGCTCCACAGGCTCACGCTGCTGGTGGTGGAGCAGAGTCATCAGCATCATCTGCCCAGGCTTCCCCACTGGGCTGTGCCATGGGGCTCCATGGCCTGGAAAAGGCTTTTTCACCCTTCCTCAGCTGCCATCCCATCACTGAAGTGATGCAACAGCTCACACAGGTCCCATCAGTGAATGCTTTAATGCTGCATATGGAGGTCTCCCTGCATCCCCACACTGGTGCTTTGCAGGTGCCTGGATGATCCAGGGCTCTCCTTTCCCAGCTGAATTCCTTCAGCTCTGGGGAAGACGTGTGTGATGCACTAGAAACTGACAGTACAGAGGTACATCTGCCGTGAAAGTGGCTGAAATTGGTGTGTGTTTGCTCAGAAACTGAACAAAACCCAACCACAGGCTTTTCTGTAGGACATGAACAACCCTCCTTCAACCTGCCTTGCACCCAGCTACCAGAGGGCTTTTCTTCATTTATAATTCAGACTTTTTAAGATGAAAGAAGTATTTCAGACAAATCTTGGTTCAGAAATGCCACCATCGTGCCCCACGGATGCTATAATGTCCTTCAGGTTGCCATTCCCCTCTGCAGATTGGTCTCTTTATTAGATGCCATTTCCCATGGTGCCCCCTGTCTCATAATGAAGAGCCATGGACATGCCCTAAAAGTGGTGTCTATGGAAACATTCCAGGTCATGGGTAGACTGCATGTGGCACTGTCAGCAGTGGACTGCATCCCTCATAGTGCATGGAATTAGTTGCCATTAATGAGAAATCCCCTCTGATGTGAGCAGGGAGGGAGAGGGCCCAGGCCACAGCAAGGGAAGATGGACAAGGCGGATGTACCAAGCACTTTTCTCCATCCCTGCTCTGTTCCTCCTGCAGGACCTGGAAGGCTTCAGGAGGTGAAAGCAGGGGTGAAGAAACCCCTTTCTTCCCATGTTATACTGCAGGGGACACACAGGACGTGCGGTGATGACTCACAGGGTGATGGGTGGTTATGCTATAACCCTGCTGATGTGGTGCTGTCGCCTCCTGCTCAGCCGCAGCGGGGGTTTGATCCTGCACCAGCAGCACTGCAGAGGCCATGGGGGGTAATGGGAGGTAATGTTTAACCTCTGCCACCAGGGCCTGCAGCCTGGCATTAACCCCGTGCAGGGCAGTGTCCTGCCCTGCTCTGCAGAGCCCATGGGATAAACCTCAACCCTTCCCACTCGGGGTTGCCCATCACCGTTAATCCTTCTCCCCTTCCTCCCTTTGTAGAACAGCCACCAGCTGAGCTGCAGATGTGCTCAGGGGAATGTCTGGGCACAGCTCAGATGTCTCTGGGCAGGACCAGTGAGCAAGGAGCTTGCAGAGCATCCCGGGAAAGGAAAGGACCATTTGACAACCAACTGGGAGGGATGTTTTTGGAAGGTCACATCAGACCAAGCCTTTTGCATCTCCCTCATTGCAGTTTTACCTGCAGAACCTTTCCAGGAACAAATCACTGCACTGACCGATGCTGAGGGCTTCTCTACTGTCCAATTGGATTTGCAATGTCTGCAATTTCAAGCTTCCAGTGTTGCACTTTTTGCTTTGCTTTGTTTAGTTTTGCTTTGCGGGCTCTTGGCTGGAGCAGGGTAAGGACAGGGCTCTGCTCTGTTCAAGGGCTGACTCATGCAGGTTTTCTGCCAATAAGTACCATTTTGTTAACTCCAGCATCAGCTTCTCTCCCTAAGAAGAGCTCTGTGAGTCCCCCACGTGGGATGAATTGTCAAGAAAATGCATTGCTGTGAGGTTGCCTTCTAATTCAGAGAGCAGAAA